GACAAGACCTCAGTGGGGAGGCCTGCTCAGTCGTCGCATCCACGACAACAATTCCTCCCCCCGTCTCCACGACGGCTCCTCCGCCGCCTCCGCCTCCGGCTACTACCAGCGAGCCACCTGCTACGACTTCTGCGCCACCGCCGCCTCCGCCTGCTCCAAAGACCTTATATTCGCTAGACGAGAGTATCGGCGGCGGCACCAAGTCCTGCTTCCCGACATCAGGGTTTACCACCTCGGCTGGAACGACGTACGGCTTCTCTTTCGACGTGGATGCCAATCTATTGGTAAGCATTGAGACTGGCGCTACAGATGAGGGCTACCACCAGTCGATGGGGTCTTGGACGGGCACATTCTACGCCGACTCTGGATCATCCCTCTCAATTTGCGGACAAAGCTCTGGCGGCGCCTTGCCGTTGAAGTTTACCATCACCGAAGCACCGTCAGAGGCCGTGAAGGCACCGGCTGGAAAAGAGGTGTTGAAGATGGACGAGAATCTAACCGCCGGTGCAACCTCATGCTTCCCGACTACGGGCCTCAACATCCAGCAGGGTAACTACGGATTTTCTTACACCACATCCGACGGAGTCGTGATTCAAATCGGCGATGACAGCTCTGGGCCTAAATACTTTTCCGGAAACAAGGCATCGGGCGCGGGTCTGATGTACATCGACTTTTCAGGAGGCAGCATTTCTGTTTGCGCAACGAACAACGGCGGTGGACCGGCAGCTCTTTCTTTGAGTATGACGCAGTGATTGGCAACCAATCCAGGTAACCTGGGTTGGTCAGCGTGAAAAAATAGATGCAGTTTGTTTGATGGAAGCTAATTTAATCGATCAAACGTTTTAGATATCACGATGTCAGATACCAATAAATTTCTTCAGGTCTTGGATATTCGAATGTGCAATTGCCAAAAGAGTGGGATCACCTATGAGTGTAACTGATTCTCAAACATCATCGACCAGTATCGTGGACAGCAGTTGATTCCCCACCTGCGACGGCTGCAGAAGTTAAACACAGCGGATATCTGCCTCTGGGACCTTGGCGAAACAGTCCAATCACACGCCCTCAGTAAGCCTTCCCGTTGTGCCGTCCCAAGCGGACTACATATCTTGCTCCAATCATTTCGTTATCTCATTACGTTACCCCTCCCTCATGCATGAGTGAATTACTACCAAAGCTTTCGGGAACGTCACTTGTTTTCTTCTACTCTCATAAAACATGAAATCAGCAGAGCCCGCACCTGTCGTACCGATTGAGTTTCGCGGCCTAGCCCTCATATCATGGACCCTCTGTCGCTCTCGCTGACGATTATTGGCCTAGTACCAGTCATTGCAAATACCATCCAACTGATTCAAACATTTTATGCTGACGCCATCAACGCAAAGACCGTCATTCAGCAGTTGGTGGAAGAGCTCGCAGCTTTGCGAGGCAATCTGTTGTCATTACAGGCGCTTCTTGAAAGCCCCGCGATCAAGGCAAAGGGGATCAAATTTGACCAGTCTTCTGTCCTTGTATCTTGCTCCACGGCATGTAAGACCAAGCTGCAGTCTCTATGTGAGACCCCCGACCTATTTGCACGAAGCAGGACAAGACAGTTGGTATGGTCCCTGGCACAAAAGAAATGCAACGAGTCACTTCAGACCCTTCGGCATTTTGCTTTCTGGATACAGCTTGGTCTATCGGTTGAAGGCTGTCACCTCTTGTCTCGCAATTTTACAGAGCTTTCAGAAACACTGGAACAGCATTGCCGCCAACTCCTTTCGATTCAAGATGGTATCCAGGTCCTGCAGACGAAAATCGATACTCAAGTCATGATGATTGAGGACTCTCATCAAAGCCAAGAGCGCCGCGAAATCCTCAACTGGGTGTCCAGTTTTGACCATGAAAAGAGACACTTGGAGGCAAAAGATCCCCGCGTGGAGAATACTGGTAACTGGATTATCGAGGACTCCTCTTTTGAAAGATGGAGAGACAATCCATCATCCACCAATGTGATTTGGTGTCATGGGTTACCTGGTTCAGGGAAAACGGTCCTGGCGTGAGTAAAATCTAATAGAAAGTAACACCGTATTTCTTCACTGACCTTCGCAAAAGATCAGTAGTGATAGATTATCTGATGTCCTTGTCGACGTCAGATATATCTACGTCGTATTTCTACTTGAAGTACACTGACCAAGGGACGCAGACTTTGTCCACGATTCTAACATCAGTTTTAAGACAAACGCTATGTGGGCCTGCTGAAATTCCAAGATCAGTCATGGAGCTGTTTCACAGTCGCCAAAGGGGTTCCCACACCATAGGCCCCGCAGATGCTGTCAGAATGCTGCTCGATGTGGCAAAAGGCCATCGATCACTGTACATTGTGCTCGATGCTTTGGATGAATGCGATCAAGGTCAACGACGAAAGCTCTTACAGGCCGTGCGCCAGCTGGCTGAGTGTCAGTCAATCAAGCTCCTCATAACCAGTCGAAGGCACATACCGGATATCGAGGCATCTTTGGGAACCTATCCACAGATCTCAATTCAGGCCCACAATACCGATCTCAAGCTATATATGCAGCACTTAATTTCCGACAAGGACGAGTATGAAATCATCGATGAGGATTTTGCCAACCGCATCATTGATCAGATCATCACGAGGGCCAATGGAACGTAAGCTAATCGCCCCCGCCCATGTCTTCGTCCGATATTGATAAGTCATTGAAGCTTTCTACCTGTAGTGTTACAGCTAGGAACCATTCTCCGAAAGAACACCAGAGGACATATGGAAGATGCTTTAGGATCAGTTTCAGATGATCTTGCAAAAGTATTCGAGGAAACTATAGCGCGTATCGATCTCCTTCCTGAAGACCAATGTCACCTCGCCAAGCGAGCTCTTGCCTGGCTGGTCCACGCCAAAGCGGACCTAACATCTATGGAGTTGGTGGACGCTCTGTCTGTTTCGGAATCTATAAAAATGGGATACACGTCATGGAGCACCAGATATCGACCGGTACCAAAGATGATCATTAACTGCTGCCAAGGCCTGGCCATCATCGCGCCAGCCACAGAACGCCTCAGTCTTGCTCACTACACGGTCCAGGAATACTTTGAGAAGCATGCTGACAGGCTGTTTCCTGGAGCAAGAGAGGATATCGCTACGACGTGTTTGTCGTATCTCCTGTATGAGGACTTCGAATCAGGGCCATGCAGCGCCGATGACGAAGTTTACAGAAGAGTGACCCAGTATCCCTTTGTGCGTTACGCGGCAAGTCACTGGGGAAAGCACGTCGCAGAGACCGAAAAAAGCTATGCAGTTGCCCGACTACTCTCAAGGTTTCTGCAGCAACGAACGTCAACTGCCGCCGCTTATCAAGTCAGGGGATATGTCCAATTGTATAAATATGACTATTGGGCGCCTGATGAGTGTATGAATGTGACACCGTTGCACATCGCCAGTCGATGTGGACTAAAGGCAACGCTTGAGGGTCTGCTCCAAACTGACTGCATCAAGAATATCAATCTTGGTACCGCGCGAGTAAAGTCAACACCCGTCATACTTGCTGCCTCTGGGGCTGACTCGGAAACTCTGAGCCTCTTGTTGGGCAGTGGCGCCAATCCTTTCATCAGAAACGGGTATGGCGATGCTTTAGATTGTGCCTGTGAGGCGGGAGAGTCACAGAACGTCCGACTGTTGGTTCAATTCGGCATGATTCCCAACACATACCCGGAAGAGGAACGGCGGCCAGCCATTCTTTGTACTATGGATCACGATCGTCTTGATACCTTTCAAACTCTAGTGGAACTTGCTGCAGATCCAGTCAACCCCAGAACGAATTCAGTTTCAGTATCAGACCCAGATCTGCTGCAGTTTCTGTTCATTCATGCCGTCGAATTTGGTGCATATGGCATCGTCAACTGGCTGTTAGGGAACAAACGAAAGTTTCACCGTCTAAAATGGCTCATGCGGAGCCATTATCACTATCCGCCTGATATCGACTACCAGTTCAATTTGGACTCCGCAACTATGGGCGGTCCTGCTTTGCATCTGGCGATTCTTAATGAGGACATCGAGATGGTTCGCCTTCTAGTTTCCTGGGGCGCAAACACGCACGCCAGAGATGCAGGCGGTATAACGGCCCTGACATACGCAGCCGAGTCGGGTATCAGCGCATTAGCCGACATAGTTGGCTCAGATCTTCAGGGCCTTGACACAGACAGCGAATAAACGTCCAACCGGCGGTGAAGATACGATTAGCGCCGGTTCAGACAAATACTTCCTCAAAAGATTAGCATCAGTCTTGCAGAATATTATTTCTTACAGGACTGCTTAGTTAAGATAGTGTGAAAAACAGACTTCCATACATTAGTATAATGATAGCAACGCACTTTTTCATAATTCCTTTTGTGAATGTGGTTTGTGAAACGTCCCCAAGAGCTTCTAACCGAAATACTCATATACAACATGCCTTCGCAAGGGAGACTAGAAATACCTGCAGCAGTCGTGTTCACAAGACACAAAGCTACAGATCCAGGTAACATATGATTCATTACAAGCCTCAGAAACACCTTTATAATGACGTGACCTTTTCACTCCTACTATAGTACATTTGTTCAAACTTAAGTTGCAGCTCATCTCATGCCTCGTACATGCGTATTTTCTACCCACTATACTCGTGCCTATGTTGCGCTTCTTAGTTTAGTCGATGAGGTACGTATTAGAACACAAACATTACTAGCTTGTAAGATCAAAGGTGACGTCGCCCAAGATCAACAATAGTTTCTGATAGCAGATCCATTGTGTTGGCTCTCCATGAATCTGCCTGCAGCGATAGCCCATTCGTGGCACTGAAGACTAAGTTTTGAGGATTTGTGTCAGAGTAAACAGGCCACTCAACCTTCACGGCTGAAACTTGATATTTGTGTCAGTACAGCTTGTCTATATCTGGCACAGAAACATTCATCATGCGGAAGTACTTACGTTGGTGATGATTTGGCGATTTTGTGACCGCGAACGAAATTCACATCCGGCTCATGATGGTAGCCAACTCTTGAAAGCTTTCTTTGGCCTCTGGTGTGCTTGGGAACGGACTAGGCTCCCACCCAATCCCATCTTTGTTTCCAAATACAAAAGCAATTTCCTGGGCATGAGTCGCGCCTTTGACTTGCGCATCAAGGTTCGCTGTTGCAGTGTCAAAGAAGTAGCTGTAGCTTGTGACGTTCTGGTCTGACCACATCTGGTTGGCATATCGTCGGCCTGCACCGAGCAGAAAGTCACCCATCCAAAGTGTTGCTGCGCCGTATTGGGAGCCGTACTCTGGGCCTGGATTGGCAAGGACGGTACCCAGACCCGCCTCTGACGGATGGCTCGACTCGTTTTGGTAAGTTCCCAGCCATTCCTGCAAAACCGCATCGGGGACGACGTGTTGACCAGCTGACTGCTTCATGAACTGGATGAAATCTTCGCTAGTATCCAAAGGGCCTGATGCATTGGCATTTAAAAACGAGGTGCCCTCATTTCGGTTGACACCAATGAGAAGTGGAACTTTGACGAACCTGCCAGTCCTTAATAGCCGAGAGTTGCGGTCAGGCAGGATCTCCCCATCTATGGTGAAGTAAGGCTGAACTTGAATGCTGGCGGCGTTGAGTATAGCTGCGGGAACGTCTCGCAAGCAAAGCAGAGGCTTGGTAGAGTTCCCGCAGTTAGTCAAACTGAGTATCTTCTGAAAGTCCTCCTCCCTCTTAGCATTATCAGGCAAAGAGTAAACGGAGAAGGGACCGCCGCTTTGGGCAATCGCTGCATGGAAAAGCCGATCGCCACGGCCACCGTACGCAAGAAGATGGAAACCAATGGATCCCGCGCCCGCTGACTCGCCCATCAAGGTCACCTTGCCTGGGTCCCCTCCGAAAGCCGCGACGTTGTCTTGTAAATACTGCAGTGCCTGGCGCTGGTCATGCAAAAGTACGTTGGTAATGCCATCCCTTTCTGCCAGTGATCCAGGGAGGAGCCCAAACACCCCTAGTCGGTAATTGAAACTGGCGAAGATGATCGGAGAGCCCATGCTTTTGGACTGTTGAACCAGGAATGATCCGTTGTACCTCGGGTCGCTAGCGCTACCCTCTGCCCAGGCACCACCGTGAATCCAGACCAAAACCGGCAGCTTAGTGTTGGGCCCTAGCCCTGCAGGCCTGATGATATTCAAGAAGAGACAATCCTCACTCATCTTCGACGTTGATGGCTGACTGAAACCCTCCAACCCGAGAGAATTTCCATAGCAGCTCGCGCCGTACTCGTCTGCACCTCGGGATCCTTCCCAGCCATCGGATGGCAAGGCTCGCTGGAACCGCAGGTCTCCCTCTGGCGCTTTCGCGTACGGGATGTCCAGGAAAAAGTCTTGGTCGTAATGACTATTGTAACGACCGGCCAATGATCCGTTGCGCACTTTGACATGGGCCTGATCGGAAAGTGGATGACAGGACGCCGGTAGGATAGCACCAGTTGCTAGGACGCTTACGATGAGCGTGCTGAGAAAAGCAATCATTTTGGAACAAAGGGAAGAAAATAAGTGGCGCGGCTAATGATGATACAGAACTTCTAGAACATACCTCTAGGTTGCCAGCTCAAGCTTTTATCGAAACCCTCTCCTATCCTAACATTGCGGTTTTGGTGTCATGACCTCGCTAAAGCTCTTGGCATCAAGTAAACAGAGGAATCAGCGTACGGATCAACCAATTCCAGGCATCGAAGCATCCACTTCTGCAGCAATGGAGATATCGGCACTGCAAGATCTCCAAATGGAACGCCACTCGGACACCGAGAGGACTGCCGCTTCCGCCCCTTAGCCGGGAGTTACGAGCAGTGCATATCCATAATGTCACTCGCACCCTAGTTGCGTCTGTTATTCTACTGGATTGCTTTAATTAAGCAATGGAAATCGGGAACATAACGATCCAACCAGCGAGCCCGGCTGAGGAAGTGTAAGGATCTGCGGGGCGGAGTTGTAGCCGGACACCGATGAGGATCCACCCCGGCTTTACGGATGCTAAGCGTAGCGGGCATTCTAGGCTTGCGCCATACGTTGAAATCAAGTCTGGATTGATGATGAAAGATGACAAACTGTTTTGTGATATCTACGCCAGGTCCAGCGGAATCATGAAGCAATACAGGTAACTCGACCTGAATGATCGCTGTTGTGTCACTACAACAATACAGCTAGCTTGACGTCAGGCGTTTGTTGAGCAGGGTTGACGCATTTTCCTGATCCCTGTTCTAGCATGGTTCTTCATTGTGGCAAGGTATCGGTCATCACCAGTTCTTGTATCTAGACGATATTATCTATGCGTGCACAGGCACCAGTCACAAGACTGGACCGTTGCATTCGGCTTGCAAACTGCGATGACAATTAAGGCTCGCCGTTGCTTCAAATGGGTCTGAAGATGTATCCCGCGCAACCAAATCTGGCCTCAATCTACGTACAATCATCACACTTGAGAAGGCGCCGTTAAAGAAGATAAAGCTTGAAGCGGGGCCTGTGAGCAGAAAGCCTCGTTCTTCCGAGTACCAACAAATTCAAGCAGACGGAAAACCTCTACACATAAGGATACACCGAAAACGAGTTGTTCTTTGAAATAGAAGAGGCCCCTTGAGACTGACCTAGTAAGGGGACGAAGTCTGTAGACGGCACGGCCTGACTCGCTCAACCCACTACAGAAGCAATGGGACAAGAAAACCGAGAGAAAAGAACGGGTATTCCCCAGATTATAGTTTCTCGGTAACCATTAAACCTACGTAATTAGCAATATGTGTGCCTTCAACCAACTGGCTTGATCTCCTATGCGGCGACGACAATTCGGGGAAGGAGACTCGAATGTCCGTCCAGCCCGCAGAGTGCCCAGACCACGCAAAAGCCTTGAGCTGTACATGAACTTCTATGGCTTGCGCAATGGGTATAAAGGTTGCTTGATTCCACTGCACCACGCTATTTCTTTTCTCCTCATCATCTAGAACTCAGCCAGCTTATCTTCTGTTCGCAATCTTAGTACTTTTCGTCGCCGACATCATGAAGTTCCTCTACTTTACCGCGCTCATCTTTTCCAGCCTCGCTCTGGCCGCGCCCAATGCCGATATGGAGAAGCGTCAAGGACTCGTAAGACGTTCTTGAAAGTCGAGAACAAGTTGGTTGTATTGAGTAAGCTAACATTTCTAGTGCGATTCCTGTGCTCAAGCCTGCTTGAGAGCTGGTGATAAGCCGACTTACGAAGAGTGCACCCGTGTTCCGGGCTGCGAATTCGTTTGCAACCCTTAAACTGGCACAGACACGTCATGAGTGTCAGATATGGCTCGGAATGAAAAAGAAGACGAGAGGAAGGAAAGCAGACGGTATTGATGGATTATTGCCTGGGAGGTTAGATACTTACATTGTGGTTCGCCAATTTGGGACAATAGGGACAAGGAGACTGGAAAGTAGGATTACTCTCGATTACGTCCCAGACCCGGATCGGGCTTTTCAATTGAAAATTGAAGCTTTTCTGTCACTGGATCTTGTAATTTGAATTCATTCATTCAAAACTAATTGCGAGCGCCATAATATTTGGTTTGTTAGCCTTCTCGGCACTCAGGGGCGTCCATATTGCCCGCGGAACGCGTGGGGGCGGATTGTTCGGAGGCGGTACTTCGCGAGTCGTATATCATTTCCAACTCCCCCTTTTCGCACATCAAGATTGTAAACCATTAGTTTTCACCTCTTGGGCTTTTCATAGTCGTCTTTTGAAGTGTAGACATGCTACTACTATACTGGCTTGCCTCGCTAGCGCTGCCCATCGTTGTCGCTGTAGCCGAGGCCAACCACGACGGACAAGATGTCTATATCGTGGAGTTCATGGATCGGGTAAGCCGCCAAAATCTAGATGCTATGTCTCATCCGGCTGAACAACACTTAGATACCACCAACGGACCCGATCTTGGCCCTTGAACAGGGCTTAGCCGGCAGAGGGTTGTCTTGTAACCTTGCACCTCGACACATGTTCACTACTTCGCTGTTCTCGGGTGCCTCGTTTACAACTGACTGTGTTCACAACGTTTATACCTCAGAGGCCTCTGTTTTAAGTGCCCTCCGTGCACTCGATATCGTGCAGAACGCTTGGCCAGCTGCATGGGATACGACGAAGGCTCGACATCAGAGACCAGCGGGCTCCCTATCCAAAGGTTCATTCCAGCAGCCTCTTCGAACCCTCAAACGACAGTCATCAGATAACGGCACAGCTCCAGCAGTCTCGCACGATAATGACGTCCTCACCACTCACAAAGATACGGGAGTCGACAAGCTTCATGCCGAAGGCATCGTCGGCTCAGGGGTACGCATCGCGGTTATCGACACGGGATTCGACCTCAAGGCGCCGGGCCTGGCCAAAACCCGCGTTGCGTACAACTACAACTCTGCTGAGGATGCCTTCGACTTTGAAGGTGACAATTGCCTTGACTTCCTCCATGGCACGCATGTCCTGGGCATCATTGCTGCCGACAGCGACGAGCGCCGATTTGGGGTTGTTGGCGTGGCTCCGAACGCAACGGTCGACCTCCATGGCCTCGATTCTTGCGACGGAACGCGACTTGGGAGTTTGGATGATTTGATGGCAGCTGTCATTTCGGCGGATGAGAGAGGAGTGGATATGATGATGATAGGGTTCAACATCAAGCTTGCTTTTCAGGAAGGTAATGCCACCCGATTTGGCCACAGGTTCCATTCTTGATGGCATATGCTAATACTTGATAGAACCGGTCGCCAGTCTGGTCAGCCGCGTAGTACGCAATGGCACCGCTGTAACGGTGGCGTCTTCGAACGATGGCCCCGGCCTCTTCACGGGAGCCTCACCCGCCAGTGGCGAGGGAGTAGCCGCGATTGGATCAACTGACAACTCGGCCACTCCGTACTACACATGGGGTGCAAATTGGACATCTGGTAGTGACCAAGGTGTCTTGCGCTTCGCCCCTTCTTTCCCATCCAACTTTGCCGCCAACAACAACCTCACTCTCTGGATGCCCGCTGACCCCGAGAGCTTCCCCGATGGATGCAACCCCGCCCCCGGCAACTTTGTCCCGCCGGCTGACCCCGCGAACACGGCGATGCTGATCGACGAAGACCACTGCTGGCTTGACCCCAAGAATGCTTCAACACGCCTCGCCATCAGTCTGGGCGTGCCTTACGTCGTGAGGTATCAGTCCGCAAGCACCACGGTGGCGGACGGCATGCAGTGGGTTCCCAACTTTGCAGAGTTCTCCAGGCGGTACCAGGGCATTGCCAGAATCTCAAACGAGGATGGACAGTTTCTGAAGTCCCAGCTTGCCAAGGGCAGCGTTCACCTATCCTTCCCGAGCGACGTCTCGCAGGCTCAGGAGGATGTCACCTACCGGATCAACGACATCTCCGGAGGCCTGGTCTCCAGCTTCTCCAGTTGGGGTCCGACACCAGAAGGCCGGAGCTATCCCTCATTCGTGGCACCTGGCGAGAACATTCTGAGTACGTTCTTGCCCAAGTACGGAGGCCTTGCGGTAATCGGGGGCACGAGTATGTCCAACCCGTTTGCCGTTGGGGTCTTCGCATTGGTCAAGGAGAAGCATCCCGACTACGACCCCAAACAGATTCTTTCAGTAGTGACGACAACTGCAAAGCCTGTCAAGTTCATCGATGGGAACAGAAAGTCGTTTGACTATCTGGCTCCGGTATTCAGCCAGGGGGGCGGGTTAGTTGATGCGTGGGGTGCGGCCCACGCCGTTTCGCTGGTCAATGTGTCTAGCCTGGACTTTAACGACACCCTTCATCGGCCCTCCTCTCTTGCATTCACTCTCGATAATACCGGAACCGAGACATTGTCTTATTCCCTGTCGCACTTAGGCGCAGCCTCAGGGTACATCCTCGCTCAAGCCGATCCGTACTCACTCACGGAAGCAGAGGGGCATCCCGTTTATGCCGAAGTTGACATCACCCCCTCGTTTATTGAAATCCCACCAAGAAGCGAGGCCGCAGTCTCGGTCTCCATCAAAGCTAGCCCAGCTCTGCCAGATGCAGCAAAGCGAGGCACCTTCTTCGGAGGGTACATCCACATCCAGTCATCCGCCGCTGCAGGAACAAACCTCACAATTCCATACACCGGCTTCGGCACGCCGCTCGTCAATCTTCCTATGATCAACCCCAACGCATCGTATCTTGTCAGTGTCGATCCCGCTACTAACGTCGACAACCGCGTGGAACCCGGCACAACGTTCGAGTGCTTCTACAACGGCAGCATCCCGAAGCCAGACTGGCCCGCCAGCTGCACGCCCGGTTTTCCAGGATTCAGAAAGACGTTCGTCACGCAGAGCCGGAACTATTCGTACGATTTAGTGGATGCGGCCACGGGTGATGCTATCCTCCCGAGGACATTTGTGGGTACCGCGGAGAGGTACACGGAGCCTTCGGCATGGTGGGTCTGGGACGGGTCGGAGGAGGATCGGAAGTATATCCCTCCCGGCCGATACTTCTGGCGCGTCCGGGCGCTGAGATTG